CTGATGATTGACCATGCGGATATCCTTTCGCCCCCAAAATAGCAAGTCGAAGGACCAACCGGTCAAATCAACAGTACAATCATTTAATGAAGTTGTCTTCTACACTCCAACGGGGAGACTGCTCCCAGTATATAAGATACACTTCGAAGAACTACCAGGATAACTTTGACAACTTTGAAGAAGAATTTTTTTTTTGCTCTGAACCAAAAAGACACTTCAAGCCTTTCTGAGATTACAACTTCACCATCCTCACAAGAAAAGCCTACTGTGGGAAAGATATTAACTTCATATCCTTCTTCCTACAAAAGCAAAGTTCCTCAGTTCTTCAACACTTCGAAAACCTCATCTACATATCTTTTGTGAAGAAGCAACGTTGGAGAAAACTGATTTTAAATCAAATACTTCTTAAAAAGAAGGGACGTCTCAAACTAGCTGGAGTAAGTGAAGTGGGGATACTTCCAAGAGACTCAGTGAAACGAGACCAACCATCAGGAAGCAAGACTGCATCCCGGGTGGCAACTAGGCTTGAAGAAGACGAGGAGTGCTTCTTAAGTGTTAGGGACTAAGGCATTGTAATTGTTAACTTACAAGCTTAGTGGAACAATGGACTAGAGAAACACGGTGTTTCTTGAACCACTATAAAAACTTCGGTGTCATTTACTTTACGCATTTACTTTCTGCACTTAAGATTCTAACTGTTTAACTCAATAGGTTGGACTCTGTGTTCAGCAGATCTCCCTTAAGAGTTATCAAAAAGGCATTTGCCTTAGTGTTTTTCTGAGGCTACCCGGACAGATCTTTATCCGCTGTCAGGTCCGGTTCTGCCATAAGAACTTGACCCTCTCTGTCACCAGAATCAGACCTTCTCTGATAAGTCAGTTTTGACTTAGGGAAAAATTCTAAAAACCTGAACAGTCTATTCACCCCCTTCTAGACTGTTCCCAGTATAAACGGGACCAACATATTTCACCCGAAAAATTATTAGTTTAGGCCTGAAAAATATTAAACTTGAGTCTAAACTTAAAAAATTCGGCCTAGGGTCCCCGCCCTGCCCCCAGGGCCGCCCATGCGTTGGAGTCCTACCAACCGTTGGATTACTTATTATGAGCTAGTATATTATTAAAAAACGGTGTTCCACTACCAACATACTCCTTCCATCCCAAATTGTTTTGCAAAGTCAACATTTTTTGGTAAACCATTAATAAAAGTCAATGCCCTGTATCAACAATTAATTCAATTTTTAATAATTAAAACTTACATATTTAGAAACTACATTAAAATCTCTTCAGAATTGCAAACCACAAATTAGAATATAATTACAAATTGACATCATAATTAAATCAATAAAATGAAATTGTTTGACCAAGAAAAGTCAAATTTACAAATCAATTTGATAATAGTTTCATCAAATTTGCAAATCAATTTTATGAACTGCTTGACCATGAAACTGTTAAGACTAATATAATTCCAAGTAGTATTAAATGAATCGGTTGCTATAAAAGAGTCCAACACAACCAATCAAGCTTGTTTTCCGCTAAGGAATTGCAAAGTATTAATTAATTAATTAATCAATTATTAATTGATATAAGAGTGATTCAATAGATAAGTAAAATTACAAATTTCTTTTCTGGCTAAAATTACAATAGATGATCATTTTAAGTGCTTTTATACTCCGTATAAGTTTTCTTCATTTTATTAGTGATATAGAATTTACATATAAATTTCCATTATTCGATAGATTCAATCAATTCACACTATTCAATCAATTCAGTCAATTCTAATAATACCAAACACGTGTTTATGGATTGAACGAGATTCAAGCCGGGGAAATGGTGGAATTTGCCAGCGGTAATTATAAATTCAAATAAGTGGTTATATATGTGACCTTATGTGTGACCTTTGTATGTGACTACTCGTTGGAAGTTCAAAACCAAGTTGTTATCCAGTTACCTCATCAATTGGGTGCTAATATCTTTGCTAAGGATGACAATGGGGGCGGGGACCCGTGGGGAACCGCCCCACGGAGGAGGATGGTGTGAGGCTTGGGGTGGAGCGGGGGCAGGGATGAGTCATGAGTGAGATATTTTCACCCCGTTAAAATATGAGGCGGGGGGGGGGGGGGGGGGGGGGAGGGATAGATTGCTACACCTGCTCCGTCCCCGTCCCGTCCCTGTTAGTAATATATACTCAAATACACACACACAGAGGAAAAAGATCTTGTCGAGTCGGAGGGACAAGACCCATCGTTCGGCCGCCGCCGTATGGGGTGGTTCTCGGTGGAATTTTTCAATGATTTTTTTGAGCATGTTCTTCATCAAGTCTAGTTTATTTACAAAAAATGTTAGCTACAAATTCAATCGGGAAGGCAGTCAGATGAATTTTGAAAAATAACTGCGTTTTATATGTATATTTTGGCGCAGTTATCTTCAAAAATTTATTTGACTGCATTCCCGATCAATTTTTTAGCTGAATGATGTTGTGGATAAACTAGACTTGATGAACAACATGCTAAAAATATTTCATTAAAAAATTCTACAAAGAACCACCCCAAACGGTGGCGGCCGGGCGACGGGTTCTGTCCCTCCGGCTGGACAGGATCATTCCCCTATCTCCCCCCTCACTCTCTCTCTCTCTCCATCCCTCTCTCTCTCTCTATATATATAGTGCGGTTCAAATGATAACGATGCTTAACGTGAGAACACTCACATTTGAATCAATGTGGTGCGTAATGAAGCTCTTTTGTTGCACATTTTCAATTTTCTTGAATTAAGTCTTTACTAAATAAACACGGCGACATTTTGGTAATTATTGTGAAAACGTGAAAAAGTGCAATATTCAAGCTTCATTGTGCAACACGTTAGAGTAAATGTGATGTTCTCACGTTCTCACGTTAAACAATGTTATCATTTGATCTTTATATATATATATATGTATGTATGTATATATATATATGTATGTATATATATATGTATGTATATATATATATATGTATGTATATATATATATGTATGTATACACACACACACACACACACACACACACATATATATATATAGCCCTCTTAGAGTTTCTGTTTGGGAGTTTGAAGGTGAGGGAACGAGAAGGCTTTGAAGGGGAGTAGAGAGAAGGGAAGAGGAGAGAGATGGTAAGGGATTCCCTCCTCTTGTTTGGGAGTTGCAAATTTCAAAAGAGGAGGGTTTGGGGACTTGAGGGGTTTCAGTGGCGGAGAAATGAAGCGAATAGCAACTCATAAAGATTTTATGCGGAAGCGGTTTTAGTTTCAGAGGATAAATCTCTCATTTGCGTAGCTAGACCTTATAAAACTCTCAAATCGGGGGAATTAGAAAACCCAGATTTTGGAGGGTTCAGAAGGATTTTATAACACTCCCAAAACCTTTCCATCATATTATTTAAACTCTCAAACACAAATAATATGGTTTATTTCCCTTACATGCCTTTCACTCCCTCAAAAAATCAACTCCAAAAAACACTCATAAATGACTTCCAACACCACTAAAATTGCTTTTGGCTAATGTCCCAAACTGTTTATGGGATTTCCCAATCATCTTAACCACCCTCCCTCTCATATTGTTCCAGACCCGACCCATATACCTGACAGGTCTAGAACCAATTTTCCAGATCCGTACCCATCGAGTATCAGAACCGGGTCAGGTAGACCCGACCCGTTTCACAAGAATCCAACTCTAACTCCAACTTCTTACTACCAGCTACCAAGTACTTTTCTAGTACTTTTCCTATTTGATGTTAAGGGTATCTTTATTATTAAAACACGGTTCTATGATTTTGTTGCAGTCTTATTACTTCATCCATTTTTTTCAATTGCAACACTTTGACTTTTTAGGATACAAACATCTTAGTTTGACCACACTTTATCTACCAAAAAAAAATGCATTTCATTTAAAATATTACAGGACTATAAAGATTCTCTTAATGTTAGTTTTCAAAATATAATTTCTCAATTAACAACAATTATACGATTTCTTATACTACATATTCATTCATAATAAATACTCCGTATTAATGATCAATATCATCATTGGTCAATGTAAAAACCAATGTCTTGCAACTGATGAAGAAGAGAAGTAGTTCTAAAGTTAATTGTTCAAAATTCTAAATAAGTTTAAGTACGCTTTTCTTAAATTTGATTAATGTAAGACAAATTGTACAAAAACCTCAACACAATTACTGTATCTTGTTCATGTCGACAAATTAAAATATGGAAACTGAGTAATTTAAACATAAATAAATAGAAAATATGAAATAGGAACAATCAAATGCATTATGCATGATAATCTGATTTAGAGGCCGGTAACACTGTTTATCGGCTTATCAGGCTTATCAGTCAACTTTTTCACCAAACACGTAACTTTTGCTTTCGCGCGATAAATTGTGTAATAAGCAGAAAAAGTAAGGTTGGAGTTACTTTTCTGGCTGTATTGGCTGAAGTTACTGTAGATGACCATTTTAGCTATTTTTACATATAATTTTTTCTTTATTTTATTAATAAAATATATTTTAAAAGTATTTTTTTCTTAAACCAGCAGAATCAGCCAATGCAGCCACTTCAGCCAGAACTTCATAAATTTCAGCAGAATCAGCCAAATCAGCCGATTTTCGTGCTACCAAACGGGCTCTTAAAGAATTTTATTTTTAAGGAATTTCTATTTCATTTTATTTATGTTTGCATTTTGCAAACATAAATTGTTCCAAAAGGTGGAATCTCCGAGCCCCCCACCCCGACCCGACAGGATGGTGGGGAGGTTAGTCACGGTGACTCAGTCAGCAGAATGACAGTAGACCCATACACCCGTTCGCACCAGAAACTCAGCCTTATTTCAGGTTTTGTGACCTCAATCCGGTCGGCGCGGGATTCAAAACTTGGTCCATTGTTCCAAATCTCCCCCACTCTACCGACTGAGCTAAACGTGCGGGTTTTGCAAACATAAATAAACTAACACATACTTACCCGACCCGGCCGTACCCTACCTTGTACCGAAAATCTGAATGCTGTAAAAGGCGCACCCTGTTCGTTTCTTCCTCGTCTTTGAGTGGAAGTCTCCAACCCTAATCCTTGCACTAAACCAACGACCCCTTTCTTCAAGCTCAAATCACAAAGCACGAACCTTTGCACGATTGTTTTCCGATGGACTCTCAGGCAAATGATCTGTTCGACACTGCGTCTCAGCCAGACACAAGCAACGACGCTTACACCTTCGTTGAATTCAACACCCAGGGCGAAGAGTACGACTACCCAGAGTTTCAAGAGCTTTCTCAGCCCATTCGATCTTCGGCATGGCCCACTCCCTCTGATTCTTTAGTTTCCGAAACGCCTGATAGGCCTCCCTCCTCCGATACATCGCCTTCCAACAAGTCCCGGCAGGGTGGAGGTGGTGGGAATGGGCCCTGCGGTAAAAGCAGTGGTAATGGTGGAAATCAGTCTGCAGCTTTCGATGCCTTGGCCGCCGGGATGAGCGGCCTGAATTTTGAGGAGACTGGGGATGATGATGGTTTTGAGTTCGGGAAAGGGGATTTTTCCGTGGAGCATGCTTGCCGGTACTGCGGTATTTCAAACCCAGCTTGTGTTGTTAGGTGCAATGTTCCCTCATGTCGCAAGTGGTTCTGCAATTCAAGGGGAAATACTTCTGGTTCACATATTGTTAATCACCTGGTAAGTTTGGTGTCATTTTCTGTTTTCCTTGTCCAAGCGTTTATCATTGTTTCAATTGGACTGAGGCTACTATTTTTCAGGTCATTGATACTTGAGTATTGGTGAAAAGGATGAGTGTATTTATTTTCATGGGTATACTTGGTCAGTTGAGTCGGGAACCCCTTGTAGTGTGTAATGTACAATCAGTCTGGTAGTTTTGGTTGCATTAACCATAAGAATATAAAGAGAAAGATAGAATGAGGTTAGTAATATGGTATGAATTAGTTTTCTAGAGAAACATTGAAATTGCTCAAGCTTGTTGAAGTAATTCACTAGTAATTCATTGTAGTAGGAGGTAGCATTTACACGCTCTTGAACAATACTCCGTATTACTTCCTCCGTTCTTTATTAATTTTCCCCTTAGGGTTTTGTGTTTTTTATGAAGAAAATAGTAGGGGTAGTATAGAGAATGTTGGGTAAATGAAAAAGTAGAAAAGAAAATATATTAAGAAGAAGAAAGTAATTTAAAAGTAGGAAGGAGAAAGTAGTTTGTAAAAGTAAAAAAAGTAAGAGTAATACAAGTGAGGGTATGAAGGTATTTTGATTGAAAAAAGTTACTAAAAAGGAAAGAGAGACCAATAATAAAAAACATCCCTAAAAAGAATACGAGACATATAATAAAGAACAGAGGGAGTATGTCTTTTGGTTGTGGAATCTTGTATGGGCCTTTGACTTGGTATAGTCAATCATTGGTGAAAAGTGGTCATCATTTTCTCAAAACAGGTGAAGTCGAGTGGTGAAAAAACGCTGTGATAATCTTTGCATATTTCAGCTGATCGGTAGGGTGTACAAGGAAACCAGTGTACTTGCCAAACGGTTTGGGAAAAGATGGATTATGTTCATTTGTATTGTACTCCGAAATTTATCAAGTACAGAACGGATTCAAGTAAATTTTATGAACTCCTATAGTATATAAAAATGCAGCCCAGTGCATGAAGGCATCCTTGCAAGAAAGTGTCTGGGGAAGGCATCCCTGCAAGAAGGGGCAAGCCTTCCCCTGTCAAATTTTGACAAGAGGCCACTCCCAAGATTCCAACCCGTGACCTCTCGGTCACACAACAACACCTTAACTGGTGTGCCAAGCTCCCCTTCAACTCCTTTAGTATTTGAATTTTGGAAATTGTACTCCGTAATATGTACATTTAGAACACGCGCAAGTAAATTTCGTGAACTCATTTAATATATGAGTTTTGGAAGGATTAAAAATACTCTTTGTTTTGGCTGTTTGTCATGTTCACTTATTACACAATACATTAAAAAATATTCAAATTTTGGTCGATGAGTATTAGGTCTTTCTCATTGCTGGTCCCAACATTCGATTTTTGACTTTAATCACTTATGGTCCATCAAGACACTCACCTGATTAATTTTCGTACAATTTCCGGATGATTTTCTCATGATAAGTGGTGGGAAAGGACCAACAGTGGGAGACATTATAACCACACATCAAAGATGGAAAAAGTTAAAGCTGTGGATGAATAATGGGAATGACTTAGTAGTTGACTCGTGAGACCAAAGGTTTAATTCTCTTGGTACACACTAATAATGATAAATTGATAACTTTTACCTTTGGCTTAACCAAAGTCTAAACAGAAGTATTTGTCATTTTCTAAAGTATTACATAGATGTACAACATCAACAACAACATCTAAGCCTTAGTCCTAAAAGAGTTTGGGGTCGGCTAACACGAATCAACACATGAATTTGGAACTAAAAAGATAAGAAAGATAAAAGAAATATGAGTGGCTGGCTGTACTTTTTTTTATTCTGGTAAGCGTGATTAGTAGTCTTATACACAGGTTATAAATGTAGACGACAACCTTTGTCCCTATCTCTAATATAGGCAAAAAGTAATTGACTTATTTTTCTATAGTTTTTTGTGTGCGCACACTAGGTCTGGGAAACATGAGTGGGGGGATGTACTCTGTGCTGTTAAGAATGGCAGGTTTTGGTATATGGGAAGACAGAGACGGCAAAGTGAGATAGAGAGGGAATGTTTGGGGAAGAAAAAAAGGCTTAAGATAGTGGTAGCTCTGGCTTTGTGTGCCTTTTCTCCTAAGCCACTAAAATAGAGAAGAAAATTGTTGGTTATGTGAGAATGAAAGTATTAAGGAAAACATACAATACTTCTGAAGGGTTAAACCCGAGATCTTACACAGATTGGGAGGGGTACATGAGATCATAACTCGGGGATCGTAACTTGTATCGTAAGATCCTAAAATCAAAAAGTTGCCATGCACACACACATATAGGCATATATACTTAATTTTAAAACTATTTATTCACCAGATTATGATTAAAAACATAATGTCATCATTCAGTATATAAAATAAAACATTTAACATAACTAGCTTAAAGATAAATTGCAAAACGTTTGAACATAATAAATTGACATCTTCATAAAAATCATGCGGTGTGGTATCTTCCTCTTCAGTAAGGCAGAAAGGTCACGAGAAAAGCACAGAAGAGTCAGAAACTTTTAGCCTTTTAGGAATGGAATGAAATAAAGCAGGCTAGAAGAGAATAACACTCTCTGCCTCTCTGGGACTATAGTGATTAGGGATGAAGAGTAGAGGATGGGTGATTATCAAGGAATCACAGCTGCGTCTCAGAGGAGAAGAACAGAAGTGCAGAACTGCAAAAAGTGACGGCCTTTTATTCGGTGATTCTGAGTTCCGATTTTCGAACTATTGCAAACCACTGAACCAGTTCACAGGTAAGTAGGTGACGCTTGGGGTCTCGGAATTTTTGAACTCACACTGTTTCCAACCGTCTGCGTCATTTCTTTCTCTACGGTTGCATTTGCCGCAGATCGACACAGATCGTCGTTCCTGCAGTTTCACAATCTAACTTGTTGATCCGGCAATCTTGAAGCGATTTCCAAGGTTCGAAATTGCGTATTGCGTAGTTGTGGCGTTTTTTTAAATATTGCATATTGCGTAAGCCTCATTGCGCAACGAGGCGTATGCCTGAGGCGTCATACACACACACACAAACATAATAAAAAATAAACATATTTGTCAAACGTCCTCAAATGTTATATTAAAACAAACCATAAGAGGCCATAGTCCTAGCAAAGTAATATGTTCAAACTTCAAAGTACCATAGAATACCAAAACTTTCTGAATCGTTTACAAAAAAAATCTAAGATATGAGAGTTTAAATTAATTAGATTGATCGACTGAAAAAATCCAATCAATAACTAGTGGTTTGAAATAGGGATCATAACATCAATTATAAAAATTTAAAAGTAGACCGGGTAGGCCCAAATAATACCATTACACCCTGACCTTCTCCTATTGCGTACGCCTCAGAGCGTCTTATTGCGTATGCAATAATGCGTACGCCTCAGTGCAATATTGCGTACGCCACACTCCCAACGCCATATGCAATGCCTTTTATGCCATAGTCTAGGAATTAGCTGAGGCGCGCCATGAGGCGCAATTGCATTGCGCAATTACAAACAATGGCGATTTCCGATCCCAGAAACGATCCAGATCATCCTTATAGCTTCAACTCGTAAGATCGGACGAGTAAATTTGCGATCTTAACAACGTTGCGTGCAAGTATGGGTCCAATTTTTTTCAGTAAATGACATCCAAGCTGTTTGTGTCTACTAAGCGATGGTCTTCTATGTCGAGCCATTTTTTGTTCAATGTATGCCGCTAGAGCTATCACTTGCAATTTACTGTTAACTGGCCGTTTAAAAAAATACTTGCCTATTTATTGACATTTTTCTGGAGCTGGATTCGATATTTTTATTTAAGTAACTATCGATGTTATGTGGTTCGATATTTAATCTATGTTCTTATTTCCTATTAATTCACATTTTTTGTGGAGCTGGATGTGATGCAATATTTTTTCAATGCAAATCAGTTTAAGTTGATAGGGGTGGCAACTAAGTGTATAAAGTGTTGTTCTTTCTACCGAAGTTAGTCAGTTGTGACATGATCATTTTATATAGATAGAATTTCATTATATTGTACATTTAAATCACTCTATGACAGCTGCTGCTTCAAAAGTTGGTCAATACTTTGAGTTACAAAGCCTACAATAGTAGGGGCAATCTTAGCCTCATAACTTTAACATGCAATTTCCAGAGACAAAAAACTATTGAAATATTAATGAACCTAGATGAAATGGATAAAGGTGTAGACAGGATTATAGTTGATCGTCCCCTTTAGTTTAAAAAAGCGCGTCTCAAAAGCGCGAGGCACAACTAAGTGATGGACTGATGGATAAATCACATCAAAGAGTCTCAGGCGCATTAGATACTCATAGGCGCACCCTAACCCTCGCCTTTTACCGCTTTCTGCGCCTCTGGGAGGCCTCCCCTGGGATGGGTGCCGACTCATCGTTTCTGGCGATTCACAAACTCTAATTCTCCCCCTGTATTCTTCCGCCTCTCCCTATGCTTCCGCTATCTTTTGCTTCTCTCTTTTATTCCCCTCCTCTCTTCCATCATTGCAGGTATATTATTTAGTTTTTTCCGTTTTACGTTTTCCTCTTTTTATATTAAACTTTTAAATTTATGAAATATGGTTTAAAGATGGTTTCTATAATCATATTGTTCAAATTTTTTACTTTTGATAGTTTAAAAAAATAGTTTTAACATGTATTATGGTAGTTTGTTATATAACAGTTATATCATCATCATCATTATCACCCCAATGCCGCAAAGGCTCCCACCTACGGTGGGATAAGGGGGGGGGGTCAGATGTACGCAACTTACCCCTGTACTAAAGTACAGAGAGGCTGTTTCCGGATGACCCATAGTGAAAATCGCGTCAAAAATTGCATAGACTGACTGGTACTTCATAACAAAGAAGCGCACACAATTTAGTGAGCCATTTTGCTTTATTCCATCATATTCTCAAGCAAAAAAATAGTGAGTTTTGGCTCCATTGCAAATGATGGAAATACTACGTATATAACAGTTTATAAAAACAATTACTATTAATCGTTTAAAAATCATTATTAACAATTTATTTATAACGATTTATTTGTAGTTTATTATAAAACAGTTATATATGACAGTTTATTATTAACAACTGATTATATAACAGTTCACTAAAAAATTGCTAGTAATTTTGTACTAATTAATATTTACAGATTAGTTTATAACATTTTTTAAAAAAATACTCTTGATATTATAGGCCCATTAGTTTATAGGCCAATTAATATTTACAGATTAGTTTATAACAATTTTTTAAAATTAATATTGTAGGCCCATTAATTGGTGTTTAATATGTTTCTTGCTACAGTATGATAAATATTTTGTTTCTCTTTTGACCGATTTTGGTGTTTATTAAGCTTGTTTAATGGCTTAAGGTATTTTTTGTGATGTTATTTTTTTGTGAAGAGGGCTTCATGTGAAAGTAGTATAAATATAATTTACCAAAGTTTTATGTTTAAGTTCCGCGCACCTTCGCCTTGTCCTTTTGCCTCTCGCCTCGGGTAATTTTGCCTAAAATGCCTCATGCCACCTTGTGCCTTATAAAACTAAGATCGTCCCATCATCAGAGTAAAAATTAACCAGACATAAGCAACAAAGCATAGATTCCAGGCCTGATTTCATTTGATGGATATACGGAGACAGTTACTGAGTGAAATGCATGAGTACTATTTGTGTGTGTGTATGGTCAACCGTTTAATCCAATCTGTGCTTCACTGTATGCACTTACAGGTACGAGCAAAACACAAAGAAGTGTGCCTTCATAAAGATAGCCCTCTTGGAGAAACTATTCTCGAGTGCTATAATTGTGGATGCCGAAATGTCTTTCTTCTAGGATTCATCTCTGCCAAGACGGAGAGTGTTGTCGTTCTTCTTTGCAGGGAACCCTGTTTAAGTGTTAATGCATTGAAGGATATGAACTGGGACCTGAGCCAGTGGTGCCCTCTAATTGATGACAGATGTTTCTTGCAGTGGCTTGTTAAGGTTTTAATACTCGTGATATTTTTGTTTTTGAAAACTGAAATTATATCTCAATATTATATTGACCAGTAATTATGATGGTATCTACTTTTGTTTCAATTGCAGGTCCCTTCTGAGCAGGAACAGTTGAGGGCACGACAGATCAGTGCTCAGCAAATAAACAAGGTCGAGGAATTGTGGAAGACTAACCCTGATGCCACCCTTGAGGATCTTGAGAAGCCTGGCGTGGATGATGAACCTCAGCCTGTTGCCTTGAAGTATGAAGATGCTTATCAGGTGCGCATATGTAGTTTAAATTCATAGATAATTTCTCAAGAAGCATTTATTACTGGATATACTTGGTGTTTTTTCTGAATTTATCATGATTCTATCTCCTTGCAGTATCAAAACATCTTTGCGCCACTAATCAAACTTGAGGCAGACTATGATAAGGTCCTCCTGCTATTCTATCTTTTTATTGATTAGGGTGGTGGTTCTAACTGCCAGGAGTTTTTTTATATGTTCAAATTTCCTTCAATCTCCATTTTGCTCCTCATTCCACCTTTATGCAAGATTTAATTTACTGTAATAAATTGCACTACTGATTTATATCCTAATCTTGTTTGGGTTCTCTCCCTTTAAAATATTCTCCTTTCATAATCCATATATCTTCTTTGTTTGTTCATATTTTTATATGAGTTGTAAATTCTCTGATATTTACTTCTTTTGTACATTTTTCTATATAATAGATGATGAAAGAGTCCCAAAGCAAAGACAATTTGACTATTCGGTGGGATATTGGTCTAAACAAGAAGCGCATTGCATACTTCGTTTTCCCGAAGGTATGCTACTCTTGATTTTAATTTTCACTTCTTTTTTTTGGGAATTTGTGCAGTTGTTCACATTTGTTAAGTAGTTTCTTTTGCCTGCTGTATATTTATTCTTTTCCTTTCAGGGTTTTATCATCCTTTTTCTGAAGGATATCTGTTTTTTTTGCAGGAAGATAATGAGTTGCGCCTTGTACCTGGTGATGAGTTGCGTTTGCGTTATTCAGGAGATGCAGCTCATCCAGCTTGGCAGTCAGTAGGGCATGTGGTAGGTTCGTTCTCCTTGTAATACCCCTCCCCTAATAATATTGGGACACAGTATTGAAGAAAAGAAAGAAACATTTTACCATATTTTTTGTGGTGCTGATTGAGAGCGGATGATGAGATGAGTGAAAACGAATAGCTTTTCTAACTTTTGATACTTTACCATGGACCCTTTTCACTTGTTCTTACTTTTTTTATTCTATTTTATGAGTAGTGAAACATCACACTTTTTGAATGAAGTGATGAAAGTGATATGTTTTCCAGATAAAATTGACTGCACAAGAGGAGGTTGCACTCGAACTTCGTGCTAGTCAGGTATGCTCTTTTGTATTCTTTTGTTTCCTTTCCCGGGTTTTTCCTTCACTTCTTTCTCTGTAATGAACCATTGATCATTTGTTTGTGTTAAAACTGTTTTTTGAAGGGTGTCCCTGTCGATGTGAACCATGGATTTAGTGTTGATTTTGTCTGGAAGAGTACAAGCTTTGACCGGATGCAAAGCGCAATGAAAAGTTTTGCAGTCGATGAGACAAGTGTCAGTGGGTAGGTGAAAAATGTCAATCGTATGTGCTTTGTCAATTGTATGTGCTTTGCAAATGGAAATGTTTATGTTCTTTTCAGTGCTCTAAAAAGTGCTGGGGGGGTTATGTGGGGCTTAGTTAGGTGTGGGGAATACATAAAGTAAATAAAGTCAGTCATGGTAGGCCTAGTGCCTAGATGGTGATATTTATACCATTGGCTCGACTGGTGACGTTTGCTGTGATCTTTCATGACGTTGGAGATTTCAATTTTGTAGTTTGGTCTTTTATGCTAGAGAACACACTGATGATTCATTGGTGTGGGTGGGTAATCAATTCGGTCTCGCAATTTGCATTTCATTCTTATTTGTGCTGTCCTAGTGTCATTTAACATTGATATAGTGTATATGGTTGTTAAGGTTAACTGTTTCATACTTGAACTTTGAAACTTCTCTTTGCTGAATAATGTTCGCGTACATTGTTCCAGAACACGTGTGTTCTTTTCACTTAAAAGCTTCAACACCATGCAGGTACATTTATCACCACTTGTTAGGTCATGAAGTTGAGATGCAGCTTGTTCGTAACACTCTGCCTCGTCGCTTTGGTGCTCCTGGCCTCCCTGAGCTCAACGCTTCTCAAGTATGTTCAACTACGCAATATCTCTGGACTGTTTTGCCCCACTTCCGCTCTTCTGTTATTATTTTCCAGTCTGTTTTACTTATTTTTGATGGTTTATAGAACTCATTGTAAAACAGGGGAGGTTCACCTTACCTTATATCCCTTGCAAATAGTTTTTTGCTGTTGCATTGCTAATTTGCTACGGACCAGAATCTTTTCGTTTTACTGAATGTGGTTTCAATCTTACTCTATGGCAGCTTTAAATGAAGTTTGTTCACATTTTCAAATTCTAGTTGTTTTCTCGCTCTATTCTCCACTCCCTTAACCATGTTTGACTTTCTTGCCTCCTTGATGGTATTTGTGGTTGGTGGATGCTGGATGGCATTTTGGCTTTGCTCTTTATGAGTTACAGACTTACAGTCCTATAGGACAAGTCTTTCAGAAGGCACTAGACTCTCACCTGATCTTGAGTCTCCCAACCCAATGAAGCGACTCACCAAGTGCCTGATCTGCTTTAGTGCCTAGGCGACTCCCTAGGATGATTTTTCATTAGCGTTGACCAAAAGAATGGGATCTAGTGAAGGTCATATGCTTATCAGGTCTGTTAATTCATTTCTATTTGTTAGGTTTTTGCTGTAAAAAGTGTACTTCAAAAGCCTATAAGTCTGATTCAAGGTCCTCCTGGTACTGGGAAAACTGTCACTTCTGCTGCCATTGTGTACCATATGGCCAAACAGGGCCAGGGCCAGGTAACATAGTTTAATTGTGGTTGTTTTTTGTGCAGTTGCCGTTATTTTAATTGCTTTCAATGTGAACCTGTATTTTTTCCATTATCTTTACCAATCAGGTTTTAGTCTGTGCCCCCAGTAATGTTGCCGTGGACCAACTTGCTGAGAAAATAAGTGCAACTGGACTTAAGGTAATATCCTGCATAGCTTTAGGTTGTGCCTACTTGTGATGGCATTCTCCCCCATTTTAGTGTACAGCGTGTAATTGTTTTTATTGGTTATATTACAGGTTGTAAGGCTGTGCGCGAAGTCTAGGGAAGCTGTTAGCTCTCCCGTTGAGCATTTGACACTTCATTATCAGGTTTGTTCTGTTTTTGTTTTGTTTTTTATTCGTCATGCATTTTTGTACCTATTAGTAACTCACTTTTACTTAGAATGCTATTGATTCTTGAATGAGCTTGCAGGTTCGCCATCTTGATACATCAGAGAAAAGTGAGCTTCACAAGTTGCAACAACTGAAAGATGAACAAGGTATTTCTTTGGTTAAAGTTTAGTATTTGTGTAATATTTCCTCAGAATTTCTGTTTGATATTTGAGTAATATTATCCACTTCTTGCTGCTATGATTTATTTTATTCTAGTGCTATGTATTGTTTTCAACACCTGATTTTTAAATATGTTATTTACATTTCAGGAGAACTATCCAGCAGCGATGAAAAGAAATATAAAGCTTTGAAACGGGCAACAGAGAGAGAGATAACTCAGAGTGCTGATGTCATTTGTTGCACCTGTGTTGGTGCTGGAGATCCCAGATTAGCACATTTTAGATTCCGCCAGGTAGAATTTCATAAAAAGTCAAAAATATACGGGGTGTTGTCTTGTACAGTTATACTATTGTTTGTCTTTATTCATGCTGCTCAACAGCTCACATGTGAAGCAGTGGCTCTATGTTTGATATGGTGCGAGTAATAAAATTATCTTGATCTTGTTTATAGGTACTAATTGATGAATCCACACAAGCAACTGAGCCTGAATGCCTCATTCCCTTGGTTCTGGGGACAAAGCAGGTATTTGTTGGACTTTATAGGGGAATGTTTGTTTATCATTTTTACAAGTCGGTATTTACAACAAGTTGCTTCTTAGGTGGTTCTTGTAGGTGACCATTGCCAACTTGGTCCTGTTATTATGTGCAAGAAAGCTGCTAGAGCTGGGCTTGCTCAATCACTCTTTGAGCGCCTTGTGATACTTGGGGTCAAGCCAATCCGGCTGCAGGTGATTGTTTTAGTGGTTCTTTAAGTTATCATGAACATTTGTTGTTCCAGATTATTTGTCAGTTTCTCTTTTATTAATAACATGAAAGGAAGCCAAAATGAAAGATTTTTTTGCTTGCACGGTTGCACATTCCATTCTGTATATAATTTTATTAATCGTCAAAAACTAGTTAACACTCTAAATCTGCGCAAAGAAGTGTAGTAGCGAAAACTTATGCTGGATCCCACAATATTGTGCCCACGCCCCTACTTGCCATTTTAGTCTGTCCCTCAATTTCATCTTTCGTGCACTGGTAATTTTTTACTGTTTGTAATTCACCCTTTTCTCTCGTACCTTTTTGAAACAATAACAGTTGGCCCCACTTGCCCCCACACTCCCACTTGCGGGGACACATTCAGAAAGTGAATTGCATTTTACTTGTTTTCATTAGATATGTACTCCCTCCGTCTCAATTTGATTTGCAAAAGTTGGTTGGCACAAGAATTAAGGAATGCTATAAATTGAGTTTGGCTGTATTATTTTGTCCTTCCTCAGTTTCTCCCACAAAGTAGAGACATTAAAGTAAATGGAAAAGAGGCAAAAGTAAGGGTGGCTTTGTCCCTTTATTCATCTTTCTATACTTATTGTAGAAAGTGGAAAATCATTTTGAGACAACCAAAATAGGAAATTTTGCAAATCAAATCGGAGGTGTGAGCAAAATAGGAAATTTTGCAAATCAATTTTGCAAATCAAAATTGGGAGTAGTTTTTTAAGGCTGTGAGCAACATCAGGAACTATGAAGTATAACTCTGCCTTTGTATGTGTGACTGTAACATGTTGATAAGAATGCATCTGGCGTGGGTGAGTGCACATCATTTGTACTCATATGTTTCACTTATCAGTCAGAGTCTGAGTGCCTCAATTGCTTTTTGCATGGACATTAAGAAATTACACTTGTACACATGCATGTTTATGATTGCATATGCATATCAGATCTGCGTATGTGTACACACACATTAAAGTATAACATTTTAATATAGACATACATCATTGGTCATCATCTGCAACACCCTAAGATACACACACATTACAAAATAACATTTTAATATGCACTAGAAGTTCTCATTATCTCATATGCTTACCAAACTCGTATTATGTATATTCCATTGGTTGTGCAATGCTAACTTCCAAGTTGTATTCAGTAGTCAGTACCTCTCTAATCCTGGAAGGTTAGACGACCCCTTAATCGTTTGGGAATAAGGCTTGGATGTTGTTGTATATATCTTGCTATTGTGCTGCCCTGCCTCATTCAGTTTGCCTCATAAGTCATAACTTCTTGTTCATTGTCCTATTTCTTTTTTAAAGTTAAATTATTGTCACTGCTCTTTGGGCATATCTGTGCCAGCATGTAATTTTTGAACTTTGTAGTCATTATGCTACAATCATTCAATCTATTGTTTATGTGATATTGCATTTCAGGTGCAATATCGAATGCACCCTGCACTTTCAGAGTTCCCATCAAACAACTTCTATGAAGGTACTCTTCAGAATGGAGTAACCATCAACGAAAGGCAATCATCAGGCATTGATTTTCCTTGGCCTGTTCCAAACCGTCCTATGCTCTTTTACGTTCAGGTCTGCTCATATACAGTGTTATAGAGAATTAGAATTTATTTTCAAGTGCCATCGATGGTTGTTATCAAGACTCGAGAATTATTTTTACTTAATAATGACATTCAATCTTACTAACATTTCCTTTCCTGTTAAGAGTAACTTGTTTTACTTGTGAACACCAAAATTTGTTTCCTATATTGCATTTATATTTTTTAAACCAGAAAATGACCACCAAACTCGGTGGTCATTTTTGTGTGTAACAAATTCACAATTGACATAATCAAACATGTTTGTGTAATTGTGTCACAAAATATACCAAGCATGTTTTTATCATCTGTCTTACCATCAAGTTTAAGTGGTTATTGATTTTATAGTTTCTTTGTTTGACTGTTCGTGTTGTTGGAGTTGGGGATTTTTCAGTTCAAAGTCAGTGGTTTGAATGATCTTGGCAAAGCCCCCCTCCCCTGCTCCGTAGATAATTATATTTAACGTGTTTGTGTGTTCTAGCTGTGTTTAGTGCTTCATCTTTACTTTTTTTTCTTTTCTAACGAGTTTCATGCATGCTATCAATATCTCTAGATGGGGCAAGAGGAAATCAGTGCTAGCGGTACTTCCTATTTAAATAGAACTGAGGCTGCAAATGTTGAAAAAATTGTCACTACATTTTTAAAGAGTGGTGTGGTTCCTAGTCAGGTATGGATGGGGCACAACTTTATTTTTGAGTACCTTGGGATGAATAAATATATATTTCTTCTATTGCACTGCAGATTGGAGTGATAACACCATATGAGGGTCAGCGAGCGTACATTGTCAATTATATGTCAAGAAACGGTTCATTGAGGCAACAACTATATAAGGAAATTGAGGTAAATCTGTATATACTAATTCAGGTTATTTCATCTAGACTTCATTTAAATGATAATATGAAACTTGCTGCTATCTAGGTTGCAAGTGTAGATTCTTTCCAAGGAAGGGAGAAAGATTATATAATTCTTTCTTGTGTCAGAAGTAATGAGCATCAGGTTGGTATTTCTACAATTACAGTCATATGACTGCAGCAAATACAATCTTTTAATTATATACAATCTGCAGGAAAACCAAAATACAATTACACTGTCAATTATATTATTTTGGTGTAAGACCCAGTGTCCCAGTGATTTGTTTATGGTGCACTGTTCTATTTTTTGCTTTCTCACCAATGACTCTATTCATTTATTTTGGTTTTCCTCTCACCTCTCAAAACATACTGTAGAATTGATAATTTTGGAGGTTGTCTGTTACGAGAACGGATCATTAATAACCTCATTATTTTGTTCAAGAATGGAGTTGTAACGTTGCGTAGAGCAAGCTCAAGCTTTTTTACCCGCTAACATGATGCCATTGTTGCTGTTTGCTGCCTTTCTATTTAGGGAATTGGATTTCTTAATGATCCCCGCAGGCTCAATGTTGCCCTTACTCGTGCTCGTTATGGTATTGTCATTTTGGGAAACCCTAAAGTCTTGAGTAAGCAGCCTTTATGGAATGGCTTGCTGACACACTTCAAGGTACTATCTTTAAATTACTAAGCATTTTTTGGAGGTTAAGTGCTGATTAGGCTATAGTAAACACTTTGTCTAAAAACTAAGCAATTCTGGAGCAACCTGATTGGGTCAATTTAGTATATCCTGGCTGCCTCAGCAGTTCTAAAAGTTTTGCATGCTGTCACTGTGTGCTGTATTTATGTTTAAGCTGCTTTTATTCATAAAATGTGTTATGTTTAGGAGCACGAGTGCTTAGTGGAAGGTCCTCTCAACAACTTAAAGCAGAGCATGGTTCAATTTCAAAAACCTCGAAAGGTGTTTTTTTCTCAAAGTTTGCTATCTTTTTCAGTGTCTGTTTATTTTTACTGAAGTCTGTGGTTGTAGTTTACAAGGATGCGTCTATCTATAGAACACTTAGAAGATATTTTGGGTTCACTTTTTGCAGTTCTACAATGAACGTAGACTTTTCTTGGGCGGGGGCCCTGGGATTCCTGGTGATGCTTTTGGATCAGCTGCTTTGCCAAATCCAAATTCTGACAGGAGAAACAGTCGTTTTAGAGGTATCAATTGAGGTTTAGTAATAGCTTTGGAGCTGTATTCATAAATAATAATGCCGGACTATTACCATAGTTTCCGGAGCTTATAATATGTAATTGCACACTTTGTTTGGTAATTCCTATATAATTTGATTTTTGCTAATTCCTAATCTGTACATCGGGCAAGAGATCCCAAGTATCTGGTGTCACATGTGGTACCTACTAATCCAAAGTCATGCTTTGTCTTAGGGTGTGGGATGTGGCCATGTGGCCAGGGAACAGGGATTTGAAGTTTTTAGAACTTGTTTAAAGCGTGGATACTCTCAGGAAAGAGTTAATTTCTGTTTCGGAAACTCTACGAAAACTCTTTAGAAACTTTCCAAACACTTGTTTATATTAAAAGATGGTGTTTCCCTTTCCTTGTTTTCCCATGTTTCTCACATTTCGATGTCACAAAAGTTTTAACTAATTATCTGTACTTTAATCATTAGTTAGTATGCAATTCCTTAACTATCTTTCGTTGTTAGGGATTTCTTCTATCTATTGTTTTCAACTCCAATATCATATGCCGATTCATGTTAGCCGACCCAAAGCTCTTTTGGGCATAAGGCGGACGTCGTTGTTAGGGAATATTCTTTAAGCTTTATATGCATAGCTGCTGTGTTGCATTAGAATACTATCTGCTCATTTTGTAAGGGTGTCCGGACAATTTGGTTGACTGATCTGACTGGTTCTGAGCCGACGGGCGCTGAAGCGAACTACTGAATAGCCATCTATTGGTCCTTCAGGTGGTGGAACTGGTAACCTTGTAGACTTTTAGTCCCAGACTATGTACCCTCAATAAAAAACCGGAGACTCTATTGGGTTAGTAGGCTAGCAGAGTATTCAGTAAAAAGTTTAGGAGGTTTTGGGTCTCAACCAAACCCAACCATATACTCCAGAGTTCGCGATGTTCACAGAACCTAACCCAACTCTCACACATGTTTTTTAATTGCAATACATCTGTCCCTGATGTTTGGCAGGATGACACATAACAATTGGTTCTGTTTTGACAACAATCCGCATCTGACAACAATAGATATTGCCATCTCTTTTGATGCTAATTTCGATTCTCTAGTTTGGAAACACCATTATAAGCTCTTTTTTCACCATCCAAATTCCACAAATGTTGGTGTGGCAGTCTTCGATACGACAGGAGAAGCACAATTGTGGTAATATCAGTTGATCCGCGAGCAACCCCCAATTACATTGACAATCTTCAAAGAATATAGATGCCTAGTGCTTTAGTTTGCGTGTTATTCATTTGTTATCTTCATGAATACAGTTTCAGTCATTTTTTCATACCCCACAATTGTGTTTGCAGTAGAGGATTTTGTGCTCTCCTATCTCGTATTACAAGATGTATACTTTGTTGGATTAATAGAAAATAGAAAATCCAGCAAAAAGTTATGCGAGTTATGTCTTAAGCCTAAACAACACCCATTCAAAGTTTAGGAACCTTCATGCATGTTCTTTTTGTTCCAATATATCAGCCCATGATGCTTATGCATTTCTAAGATGATCAGTCTAACAATTGACCTTTTTATGTATTTGATGAAGATTATTATGGAATGTTACATTGTTTAAAATAAAATGATGTATCAGAGTTTGAATTTCGTACATATAATCCATAATCACTACTACATATAATCTATAAATCACGACTACAAACGGGACCACATGGTTACTTTTTTGCTTTTCATGATTACATTATTTCACAAGTGTTCCGACTTAATAATTCTATTTCATTTATCTTCTATCAGGCTATATGGCAGCTGTTCCGCCCAATGCGAATCATAAACCTGGTGTTCATCCTCCTTACCCAATGCCCAGAGCTCCACTACCTCCTTTCCATGGGGGTGCACCGCAGCCATATGCTATACCTACACGTGGCGCTGTTCATGGTCCAGTTGGAACACTTCCTCAAGTTCCACAACCTGGTAGCCGGGGTTTTGGTTCAGGCCGTGGGAGTGCAAGTGCTCCAATTGGTAGTCATCTAGCTCACCAACAAGTCTCCCAGCAACCAATTGGAAGTCTTGGCACCAATTTTAACTATCCAGCAATGGACAATTCCAACAACCAACCATCTATGGGAGGACCCTTATCACAGCCTGGATATGTTTCTAGTGTTAGTGACCATTTTGTTTGATTCCGTTCCTATTATTTGTAGAATATGCCATTTGTCTGTCTGGTCTTGATACTTGACAGTAATTCTGTTCGCTGATGGAATTTCAGGGACCAAACCAGATTTTTCGGGATGGATTCTCTATGGGAGGCATGTCACAGGTGGTTCATTTCCCCTGGGTTTTTGGCGTTTTATTTTTTATTGCTCCTTTTTCCATCATTTGCAATGGAGCCAAAGATTCATTATTTTTTGACTTGAGATTATGATGAAATAAAGCAAAATGGCTCACTAAACTGTATGTGCTTCTTTGTCATGGAGCATCAGTCAGTCCATGCAATTTTGGACGCGATTTTCACTATGGGTCATCCGGAAACAGTCTCTCTGTGCTTTAGTACAGGGGTAAGACTGCGTACATCCGACCCCCCCTTACCCCACCGTAGGTGGGAGCCTTTGCGGCACTGGGGTAAATGAAAATGATGAAATGATGAAATGATTTTTTATTGCTCTTCTTCATTGTTAATCCTTTTGCCTAATCATCAGGACTTTTTGGGTGATGATTTCAAGAGCCAGGGATCACATGTTCCTTATAATAATGTCACCGAATTTTCAACACAGGTAGTTCAAATGAACCATTTTCGTTTGCTGGTTCTATTTTTCCATTGCGCGATATGTTTGAATAAATATTGCTACACTTGCTCGTGAAACAAAATCAATGATATATCTGGCAATTGGCACACATCTTTTATGCGATAATGTAGTATCCTATAATTGTTACATTATTCAATGAAGGGTTAAGCAATATACTGTTGTGAACAAATTTATTTGCAGGCTTCACAAAGTGGATATGGAGTTGATTATGTTACCCAGGGTGCACAGGGTGGATTCCCAGGAAGCTTCATGAATCCCAATTCTCAAACGGGATATTCACACTTCGGTTCTGGAAATGAATTTATGTCTCAGGTTTGTCTGTTACTTGTTTAGGTTCCTTGACTTATCCTGTTTGGTTACTCTTCATTAATTCATGACCAGTAATCCGTATTCTTCATGAGGGTTTTAAAACCATATTTTTCTTTAGTCTATGATAGTTGGATAGTCCTTCAAATTGATGCATACTATTCAAACTTCAAACTACTACGAGAACTTGTTAGGTCTATATATGGACCTAACAAAATATGGGACTAATAAATCATGGTGTCACTAGAGGATAATTTCAACAATCAGTTGTCTATGGGAACCATCTGTTAAGGGCCTTGGTACAAGATCTAGTCCAAGGTCGATGCTTCTGAGAAGAACAAGAAAAATATGAATCTATGGTGCCTGAAATATTAATCGACTCCCGCCCTCGGCAAGGAGTTTGTCGCAGGTTCCACCGTACGCCAAATAAAATTAATATTCCAAAGCTAATCTCATTAATCCAACTGATAAGCCTTAAATAGGCTAAAGACAAGTTTCCTAAAACAATAATAGGAAAGAAGTAATACAGAAGCTCCTAAACTAGTATAAGGAAACCTGAATAAATAAACTCAAAGTAGGAAACTGATTTAATTAATTAAAATAGACTCAAAGTAGGAAACTGATTTAATTAATTAAAATAATGAGGACCACTCAAGCTGGTCCCTTCTTTGACCGCCTCTGGTAGACTCTGCCAAATCGACCCATATCATCACTCCCTCCGTTGACAACGAGCTTGTCCTCAAGATCGAAATCAGGAAATTCTCACAGAAGGAATCCAATGTTTCCCATGTAGCCTCTTCCAAAAGCTGTCCTGCCCAGTGGACAAGTAGTTCCCAGCTACCCTGATATGGACGAGCCTTCAAAATGGACAGAGATTGGAGTGGGGGTGGCAGGTTGTTCAGTTCTGGTAAGGTTCCCATCGTCAAAGGTGTGTCTCCTCTGTGTGGCTTGAGTAAAGAGACATGAAAGACGTCATGAATTTTGCTTGATGGAGGAAGTATCAGGCGATAGGCAGCTTGCCCAATAGCTTCCTTTATCTGAAAGGGCCCAAAAAACTTGGGTGAAAGCTTGTGAGTATGCCTGATGTTAGGAATATAAAATAATGTTACATACGTTTATTGTAAATAGCTTGGAACCTTCTAGATATACCTTAGGCTGTTAGTGCTGTTATACAGGCTGTTAGAGTTAGTTACTTGTATTCTACTATAAATACTTGTATTGACTCTTGTAATCATAATAATTGAAATCTCCTACTTTTCATCTGAGTTCGTTTTCTAATATGGTATCAGAGCTTTAGCTCGATCAACCATGCCGGAAACTGATTCAACTTCATCTTCAACCTCCGCTGCTGGAAGTGTCGCCTTTCCAGTAGCGTTCAATCACCCTCTTCCAATCAAATTAGACTCGAATAACTATCTTTTGTGGAAGCATCATGTTGAGTCTGTGATTCGCGCGCACAAACTTGTTCGGTTTATAGAGAATTCGAAGACTCCAGAGCAATTCATCACAGATGAAGATGGAAATGAAACTGTGAATGAGGCTTACACTCACTGGGATTCACAGGATCAGATGCTGTTCGCATGGATGCTTTCGTCTCTATCTGAAACTCTACATGCTCGTATTATTCATTGCCAGCGATCGTATGAACTCTGGAACACGATTCGCAATTTCTTCCAAGCTAACATCGTTGCTAGGGCGAGGCAGCTCAAGTCCGAACTCTATAACACTGGAAAAGGGGAACGATCCATCTCAGAGTACCTGCTTAGAATTCAGACAATTGTTAACAATCTTATTCTCGTAGGTGAACCAATCTCTAATAAAGATCATATCAATGTCATACTCGAAGGATTGCCGCAAGATTATGAATCTCTTGTGTCCTCTGTAACTTCTCGAAGCATTCTCGAACCAGTTACCTTAACTGAACTTGAGTCCTTGCTTCTAGCAAAAGAGATGAGACTTAAGAAACATCATGATACTACTCAGCAAAGCATATTTTCTGCCAACGTTGCTCAAGTTGATAATTCCTCTCAAAACAAGAAAATGCCTCTGCAAATGTTTCTCAGTATAATAATCCAAATAGTGGTAATCCTTACCGCGGACGTGGTCGCAGTGGCTATTACAGAGGCAGGGGTGGTCGCTCTGGACGTAATTCTATCACTTGTCAAGTCTGTGGAAAATCAGGTCACCATGCCTTGATTTGCTACCATAGATACAATCCTGCATATACCAATCCAAACCCTAATCCTTCTTCTCTAAACCCTAATTATCCAAATCAAACATCTGGACCTCCATCCTACTGGAATCCCAACTCACAATCTCACTATCCTCCAAATCATTATACTCATCAACCTAAACCATATACCTTTCAATCTCAGTCTATACAATCAAAACCCAATCAGTCATGGAATCATCAGCCTACCAATCCATCTCCACCTCCTGAAACCTTCAACTGGGGACATCAGCAACCTTTTAATACTCCACCAATTGCAAACTATGCCACTGCTAATCATTCTGTACCTAGTCCTATTCCATCTAATCAACATTGGTTTCCAGATTCAGGAGCAACTCACCATGTTACTGCAGATCCACTAAATTTCCAGCACAGTGAGCCTATTGCCACATCTGACAAGCTCTTCATGGGCAATGGACAAGGTTTGGATATTAAGTCTATAGGTTTTTCTTCCTTTCTCTCACCTTTTCACTCCTCACAATCACTCTTACTGAATAATATACTTCATGTTCCTCATATAACCAAAAATCTACTGAGTGTTAGTCAGTTTGCCAAGGACAATAATGTCTTCTTTGAATTTTATCCTCATGACTGCTATGTCAAATCTCAGGTTTCTAAACAAGTCTTGTTGCATGGAAAACTTGGTGAAGATGGCTTATACAAGTTTCCTTTCATTCCTCTTGGTTCATGTCAAACTGCTGCAGTCCATCCTCCAGCCTCTTTAGTGTCAACTAATAAATCTGTGCATCCAATGTCTTGTTTGTCATCATGTAATAAGTCTCAGTCATGTAATTCTTCAATTTCATGTAATCTTTGGCATCTCAGATTAGGTCATCCTCATCTTGAGGCACTTAAATCTGTACTTAAACATTGTAATGTGTCTTCTATAAATCACATTGATGTTGATTTCTGTTCTGCTTGCTGTCTTGGGAAGGCACATAGACTTCCTTCACATCCTTCTAATATTGTTTATCATAAACCCTTTGAAGTAATATTCACAGATCTTTGGGGTCCAGCACCCATTGTATCTTTTGATGGATATTCCTATTATATAGCCTTTATTGATGGCTTTACAAGATATACATGGATATATTTCCTGAAAAATAAGTCTGATGCTCTTCTAGCATTCCAAAATTTCTACAACTTGATTCTCAATCAATTTTCAATATCCATTAAATCTGTACAGTCTGACTGGGGAGGAGAATTTAGATCCTTCACTAATTTCCTCAATGACAAAGGAATCACTCACAGAATCATATGTCCCCACACTCATCATCAAAATGGTTTGGTTGAAAGGAAACATCGCACTATTGTTGAAAAAGGTCTCTCAATCCTAGCCCATTCTTCTTTACCTTTTAAGTTCTGGGATGCTGCATTTGCAACCTCTGTGCACCTTATCAACAGAACTCCATCTAAGTCCATTGCCAATTCCAGCTCATATTTTAAACTTTATGGATCTATTCCAGATTATTCTTTTCTTAAAGTCTTTGGTTGCACTTGTTATCCTTTTCTCAGACCTTACAATAAACACAAGTTTGATTTTCACTCAGAAGAATGTACATTCCTAGGATATTCTTCTCAGCATAAAGGCTATAAGTGTCTTTCAAAATCTGGTAGAGTGTACATTTCAAAGGATGTCATCTTTCATGAATCAAGTTTTCCCTATTCATCTGTATCCCAATCTTCTATTCCCACAACCAAACCTATTCATAACTCAGATTCTGCCATATTAACTGTTTTAGACTCAAATCCTTCTTCTGGTTCTAATTCATCTCAATCTCAGTCTCATAACTTCTCATCAAATAATTCCCAGCACACTGCCTTGCAACCCATCTCTTCTAATAATCACAATCAATCAGCAAGCCATTCATCTACTCCTTCCACTCATAATTCTTCAGCAAATTCCAACAACTCTACTCCCAGTCCATCCCTACATCAACAAGCTATTAATCAACCACCTTCTCCTTCATCATCTGATTCTACTTCCTCAATTTCAAATTCTGTTCATATAACTAACACTCATCCTATGCAAACTAGATCAAAATCAGGAATTATTAAACCTAGACTTAATCCTACCTTGCTGTTAGCACATGTTGAGCCTCAGTCAGTAAAGCAAGCACTCACATCTCCTCAGTGGTTCTCTGCAATGAAAAATGAGTATAATGCCTTGATAGAAAATCAAACATGGTCTTTAGTTCCTTTACCACCTGACAAACAAGCTATAGGCTGTAAATGGGTCTTTCGAGTTAAAGAAAACCCTGATGGTTCTCTTAACAAATATAAGGCCAGATTAGTGGCCAAAGGCTTCCATCAAAGGTTTGGATTTGATTTCAAAGAAACATTTTCTCCAGTGATCAAACCTATCACTATCAGAATATTGCTCACTTTGGCAGTTTCTTATCATTGGTCCATTCAGCAATTAGATGTCAATAATGCCTTTCTAAATGGAACACTTGATGAAGAAGTCTACATGGTCCAACCCCCAGGCTAGGCACAGGACACCACTTTAGTCTGCAAACTTCACAAGTCATTATATGGCCTAAAGCAGGCTCCTAGGGCCTGGTTTCAAAAACTGACTTCAGTTCCTTATACAGCAGGGTTTCAGCAAAGTAAATGTGATCCATCTCTCCTATTCTTCAAGTCTCAAGGAGTTCAGATCTACATATTAATATATGTAGATGACATTCTGGTCATAGGCAATGATTCTAAAGCAATTCAAAACCTTATTTACAAACTACACTCATCCTTTTCTCTCAAGCACTTGGGTGACATTGAC